CAATACATCCCCTACCACACCATACGGGATCAACAACTCCGATGTCTGGTCAACAAGGTGAAAGCAGCAATGATGGCTGTACAGGCAAAGCCTATAGGTACACATATTAGTGAAATGTATAAGAATGTGAAGATATCAAATATAAACTCTGCCAAACTAATAATTGTAGGTCGTGCAAAATTATATTTATCAAGCCCTTTGTTCCAATTTGATATTAAATGAATGCTGATATATCAATTGAAATGTTCCAAAGATACAAAAGCATGAATATGTAAATCTGATTATTTATACATTTGATATTTCAATGAGTTATATACTTGTTTATTCAATAAAAGTATAGTCTAGTAAAACTCTCCTTATTGGAATACCTATGGAAACAGCTAAATGTGTTCGGATTGGGAGGTGTTTACATTTTAACTTTTTTGCATTAGCAAGATTTGAAGAAATGTGAACTCATTACCCATCAAAGTTAATAGCTCAATTGACCACAAACTGTGTCATATCACTGTTCAATTGATAGATGTTCACATTTCATAGGGTAGTCAGTGTGAGAAAAAATTGGTGGATTAAAAGATGTTCTAAATGCAGGTTTCACTGTCTTGATTATATTTTTGGCACATTTAAGGAACTGTAACAGATGGCGAGTTCCATACATTGAGGACCAAAGGGAATAAGGAAGCTCTTCACCTGTATGAACTTATTGTTCAGAGTAGAGACTTCGTAAGACACATGAAGAAGGACACTCTCCTGAACATGCTACTACCAACAAGTAAATAATTATTAATTTAAAGGGACAACAAGGACTTTAGAGAGAATATTAGAAAATCAGGGCAACATTTGGCTTAACTTCTTCTCTTACATACATTTTTTCTTAAAATGTATGGAACTATCAGTTTCCGCCTAAAGAAGTGTAAATTCAGTTCAAAGCTTCTATAAAGGGAGTCCAAATTGAACTTTTAAGATCCATCACGTTTTAAGAGGAATATCAACTTTGTAGATAATAAAAATATATATTAGTCTTGATAATTATCCAAACTTAAATATATTTTGATACTGGACCATGATCGTTGAATCTCTGCACATAATGTTGCACCTTTAAACACAATCATGTGTATGTTTCATTTGACATGCTATCATATGATAACATTAAATAACATACCAAAACTTTCATTATTATAGGGATTGCTGAGGGTCAATATGTAGTTAATCCTCCAACATTTGTACCAGCAGAAGTGGTCATAAGGATCCACATGAGCATCTTACAAGGAGCTCCCATTGAACAAGCTTTGGCCATGGAGAGGCAACGACAAGTTCCTGATGGTTACAACCCTTATCCATACAAAAAAAATCTAATCCCGGAGTCAATGACTGATACTCTTAGAAGTATTGTGGCCACACTCAGATTTCGTGAGATGGTTTCAACATTCTAGCAGGAGGGGAGAGACTTTTCTTCTCATGTTTATGTTCCAGAGGTAATTATACAGCAAGAATTTGGGATTATGAACGAAAATATAAGCATAATGGGAAAAATCTTTGTATCATAAATAAGAGTTGAGGTATTTATTTGGTTTGCTCACTTTCGATAAATGATATGATTTTTGCTGATGACTTCTCCTATATCATCTGAAGTGATATTTTGAACTGTAAGACTATCACTGCACAAAACATTTAACACAAATCACTGGAATGGTCACAACCCATGTTTCAATAAGGATGAAATGTATATCATTAACTTAACAGGTAGATGAAATTACTGGGGACGTTTTCCACGAAAGGGGTGACCACAACCACATCCTCAAAAGGATTGCTACATCTACAAGAGAGATGAAATGCCAGCAACTTCACCCTGAGGGTTTTGATGAAGCTCTCAATGACCCTACAACAGGTAATTAGGGTTTGAACTACAGTAAGGCCTGGTTCAATGGTCATTGAAACGGCTGAGTTGATTTTTTCTCTTGGTATAAGAAAATAATATGGCAACATTGTGAAGTGTGTGTAATTCATACATATGGTATTCTCTGGTTTACTGATGTTCACTTGCTAAAAGTTTGATAGTTTCATTAAACATTCACAATGTACAGTTGTAGACTGCTCTCCATGGGCAACTGTAAAGATTGCTACTTATGTCAATTGTTGAACAATCATTTCAAAAATCATTTCATTTGCAACACTTGGTAAAATATTGTATGTTGTAGTCAACAGTCAATATTGTTGACTTTAATTGGAATGTTATTAAATTTATTCATTTTATTTACTTTTTGAGGTACTGTTAAGATTTTTTTTATTTGATTGTAACTTTATAAATTGAATGAATCATCTAAACATATTTCTATGCTCTGTCAAAAGAATACTTTATGGTGATTAGCAATGTGTGAATAAAACTTCCTTTGTGTACATAGACATCATATAGCTGTAATTGGTTGATTAATTGTAAGATATGTATGTACCCTAAAGGTCTCACACATGCTGCATTGGTTGGCCTACGCAAACAATCTGTGCTAGATGCAGAGCGCCTATTGTCACACCGTATGGCAAGGTTCATGGAGGTAGATAACTTTCATCATATACTTGGTTTCGCTTCATTGTTCCCATTCAATACAAATATCAATAATAAGAAGGAACACTTTCATTTATCAATCATGAACCATATTGATATGTTTAATATTATTTATTGAATATGTTGTTATGAAAAAAGTATTTCACCTATCGCATCCATTCACAAAAATTACTTTTATGTTTATTTTAGACTCTTTTTATTCTCTGAATTATAATGTTGCATAACAAGACTGTCAATAGGCTTACAAAAAAGAGCAAAATTAATATGAAACCTTAACATACTGCACTGGCTATAATCATTGGCATAACCATTATTACCATGGTTACCAGGCAAATCATCAGTACTTAGATGCTATAGCAACGTGGCACGAGTGCAGTGATGGGCGAGGGCTTAGCCAGTTGGAAAGGTCCAAAGGAAACTACAATATGCTTAATTATATCCTGGATGACTGGATGCCATGGCATCGGGACACATATGATTTCAGTCTAATTGACATCAACAGGTACACACTATAAAATATACATATGACTCAGGAGTTAGCAATTCTAGTATGTTACAAATGTTATAGTCCATGCAATTAGCCAGACATTGTGGGTTCATTAAATTCCCCCCATTCTAGAGATTGTGATCATATGGCAGTTTTGAGGAGTTGCTCACTATAAACCCTTATCAAGACTTAAATGTTGGTCCAATATTCAAATTATACAGTGAAACCTATGTACGTGGATCTTCTTTAGTACCTATACAAAGTGTTCCACTTAAGACATGTTTCTGAGGTGCATCGAACATAAAGTCAGTTGGTCTTTTCCACTTTACAGGTTTTACTGTAACTAAAATATTCTAATATGTAGAAAATGAACAAAAAAGGGGTGTAAAGGGGGTTTCAAATAACATATTTTTCGTTACTCTTGCTCCATGTACTGTACTACAGTATAATATTCACTTTTCTAACTTTTTGGTTAATCTCGGATACAATAAACCATAAAATTTGATTATGTATAATATCATTCTTATATATACCTCAGCACATACAACTTGAATTAAACAAGATCAATGAAAAACTATTTAATAGTGTTACATTTTTTAATCTGGTAATTGTTTTAGTATTTGATACATTTTATATTGAGGGGTTCTTTGCATTATCCAGGCGACTACTAGACGGGTCCTTCACCTTGAAGGATTTCAAGTTCCAATGGAGGAAAGTAGTGAGGTACATATGATGAAGAAACTTGGCCAGAATGTGCATTAAATAAAATTGTGATTGTGATTACATAAATTTATTTGACACTGAAAGTCACATAGAGAAGAATCACGCCTTTCAGTGGTAACAGAACATTTACATGTAGTTATAGAATAGAAATAAATTGAAATGTAGCAATCATCTGTAAGTTACAAATACATGCACCTATCTCTGTTTTAATAATACGTGTACATTTCATATTGTACATGCAATTATACCAATCTGCCATGTCTTAGTGTTTATAGTATTTATTCAAGTATTTTTAGACAAACACACAAAATATAAACTAAGAAATGATGATCTGTTAATAAACAAATTACATATATGCCACTTCCACTTATTAAATATGGCAACATCTGTTTAGGGAATTTGTACGAAGAACAGATCCTGACCTTAGATTTTATTACTGGTCCAGAAATGAGCGATACAGAGAAGAGGAACCAAATTTTGACATTCCTTGTGACCAAATTGATGAGCATCAGTACCATGAACGACACCAAGCACCCCGTCTTCATCGCCGTATTCACAATACACGTGAAGACAGATCTATAATTGCCCCAGGAAGAGCTTTCCTTCCAGTCAGAAATCAAGTTCACCTGAGACAACGACTCTATAGACCTGTGGCTGAATTGCCACCGATACCAGAGGAGTTACAGAGAGTGCTGCCTCATCAATAGTGCAAAAGTCCATTTAAAGATTCAGTGTCTCTTAGGTTTCTCAGTGATACCCCGTTATAACATAGGTTATTGCAAAGAATTTCTGCATTTTAACTTGGACAGATTTTCTAAATCTTGACATACACAAGGTAAAAGCAAGGGATAGTATGGGTTTTCTCTATGGTTGAAATAAGAGTGTGATCATTTTTCTTCCAGAAAATCAGAAGCAGATAGATTAAAATAAAGAACAATAATACATTTAACATGGTTAAAAATTGCATATGAAGTCAACATGATTGAAATGGTTTATTGCTCTTGCAAGATGACAAGAGACCAATTCAATAATTATCATTATACTGTACTTACTTTTTATCAGGATTATGAATGGATCTATAAGATATACATGTCTTCAAGGTCAGATAATAGTCATAAACTAAGATAAATGTATCTGAAATTGTTTGAAATAACCTTTGTGGGGTTTGGAAAATATTTGAGTTTGTGATAGATTGTTTTAAACAGATAACAAACTCTATGCTGTACTTTTGTTAAAGGCAGAATCAGATATGTACTATAGATGCTGAAAAAATTGCAAGTTACATGGTATGATTGATCTACCAATCCATTCCCTATGATCTCAAAAACAATATTCCCCAAGATATCTGTGATATGTTATGAATTGGTGAAATTATAAGTACTATTCTCACAAATAAAAATGGTTACCATAATTATTGAAAAAGAATGCATTATTGTTGAAACACTTGAATCAGTTTATTGAAATAAAGTATGCACTCTGGGGATTTCAGGAAAATACACATGACAAGGAATGACATGACCTAAAAACATTTGAAAAGGAAACACTTTTTGTTAAACTTGCTTGCTAGATCTGATTCTCCCTTTAACAGAAGTGATACCAAATATGTTTTATTGTAATTGTTTAAATTTTGTCGTTGTACTTATAATCTTTTGATTGTTTTTCCCACTTTCCATTTTTGACAATAGTTATTTTTGCCCTCAGGTTGTACGAAGAATGTTTAGGAGCATATTGTCTGAAAATACTTGTTAAAGAGACCGATATAATTTTGTTCCCACGGAGGGCTTTGGTAACTCTGGGAATATCACATCCAGGAATGTAGCCCAGCCTATAATTGTCATTAGCATTATGCAAAACAACCAAAGCATTCCTATCGATCATGTTTGTATCCTCACTTTTAAGTTTCAATGGATATGGCTTACTAGGATCTGATTGTGAATTTTTTTCAGCCCTGCAATGTTTGATTGAGTTCTGGTATTCCTCTTGCCATGTTGAGCCAGCAACTGTTACTTCTATGGCACTGGGTTCATCATCATCTTCATCTTCCAATCTGTCACGCTCTTCAGTTTGATCTGTACTTTGAGTAATCTTCTCATGTGGAATTAAGGGAGGGGATGGGCTCTTACATGAACAATTGCAATGTGCCGCAGCTGCAGAATCCACTTCCGGAAAGCCAGTGTCTGGACGTTGCTTTCCACTTGCATTGGCAACTAATCCTCCAGCTCCTAAGAATAAGAAATGGAAATTGAACATCAATAGTCTTTCTATTTTTAAACATGTCGAATGAAACTGGGCACTATATTATGTTGGTTTAACATCAATATTTTGAATAGCATGAAGCCATGATCATTTGTACATGTTTTGGCTAGCATTAAGCTCCATAGGCTTATGTAAAGTACCAGATTTAAATTAGTTAATTATTACTATTGAGTTTTGGGTGACCATACCCCCAATTTTTTATGTTATAGTAGAAAACAAATGTTTATTGAAAGATGAGATGAAAGATGAAAGCCATGAACCTGATGAAACATTTTGCTGTATTTTTTTTAAGTAATCCAGATGCATGTTATATATGCAAGTATAACAAAATGTGTTCCGTTAATATTTGACAGTAGTAATATTAGAATGTGCATGTATAGCTACAGGATGCAGCAACAAGTTGCCTTCATTGTAAAGAAACAATATAAGACGTTAAGAATGTGTTCAAGAGATTAAGATTACAGCAATGAATTTTAACATGATACAATGCTTGTATGCTCAAACTCTCATAAAATTGCTGACATATCCTGGGCTAAATAATGTAAAAATACATGTATTTTACATGAAAAGTTCCATAGTACAGATTATACTATTATTGATAGCTGATAATAAATGACATCATTTTCATACCAAGAATCATTTTAGTTATGTTTAACTTTACCAAAATATATCCAGTTTAAGTTATAACCACTTGCCTGGAAGTAGTTTTAAATTAGTGATCAGCTCTACCTCCACCGTCTCTTCATTTTCTTTGTCATAGAGCTGCAATCCAAAAGAAAAGTACAAGTTCTACACATTTTTAGTGTCATGTTGAACATTATCCAGATAATACCTCTCCTATACATGGAAACACTATTTCATGCAACAATCATCATTGGCCCTGGTGTTCCTGCACTGTAAAAGGAACATTTACCAAAATGAGTCTTTTGGTCTGGAACTTACCACCACACAAGTATTTTCCAAGTATTACCCTGGAGTCATCTCAGTCAGCAATTATAATATGCACGTATAAGTTGAGAATGTGTTCGAGAGATTAAGATTACAGCACTGAATTTTTAAGTGACACAATGCTTGTATGCTCAAACTCTCATAAAATCGCTGACATATCCTCTGTTCTCCCAGCCCTCCAGGTACTGTATGACCAATTATACCAGTCTCGTAGGATCAAATCTTCCTTACACCTTACATTAAAATGGGGAGGCAGTCTTCCCTGTTATAATTTCTAGCATACATATTAGAAGTACATGAACCCCCATAAATGCTTTTTCAAATCAACCCCACACCTTTTATACGTTCTTGTATATTCATACAGTAGGTGTGGGGTTGATTTGAAAAATTAGCCCACATGTATGATTGCATGGGTTTCATTAGGCTTGGGTAACCAAACCAGTCTGGCCCAGTTATCTACTCCTGATTCTGAAATATCGTCAGGAGTTGATAACTGGGTCAGACGGGTTTGGCTATAGGCTTGGGTAGATTGAGACTTATAGGTAGAAGCCTCTAATGCGTTAGATTATTGTAGTGATTTACCAATCCTCAGAGACCAAGAGGGTGCATGAATGCATTGAGACTCTAGGCTCAAGAATTTCAAAGGAGGGGGGGTACATGTAGTATGTTTCCAACAGACCTAATATAATATTCAGACGAAAAGGATACAGTCTAGGGGGATTTACTACCCATGGATTCATAATGAATGCAAATATTGGTGCAAAGAATAGTCATAAGCTTACCTTTACTGACGAAGATCCTTCTACAAGTACATAAACAGGAGCAACAAATGTCTCTAGAGAAGTCAAATTGTTAAAAGAATCGAGAATAGTAGCATATCTGCGATCAGAGAGGTTAGAGAGAAAGGAGACGTGACAAATCCTAATATCTAACACGATAAAGTTACAAGATTGAAGTTGGTACGTTTTTGTAGTATTTTCCAGGCAAGAAATATACAAAATCTCTCCTTTTTTGATAAAATTTCCGCTTGTTTTCTTTAGCACGGAAGCCATTTTGAAACCTGTGAGGTCAAAGGTCACCGCTACCATATATGGGACAGAATATCGGTGGTGCATTCTGGGAGCCAATCCTCCTTGATGTATGAGCTCCTCAGCATTGTTTTATCATGACGTCATATAACCCTCTTGTTAACAAATTCTCGGAATATGGTACCATTATCTGTGACGTCAGTGACACATTGCCCCATTAACAATAGACTAGATGCGAGTAGATATAATCTTGATTTACGTCATTAAATATTCAGAATTCAGTCAAAGTGATATCATATTTGAAATCTACAAGCAAAAATACATCTAGAAATATGGTTACAGAAATTGTTTATCAACTTTGAAAATTTAGTTTTTTTAAATGTAATTTCTTGTTCGGGGAGATTCCCAATAGAGCCCATGTTATAAAATCAAAAAAAGTTAAATATCTTTTCTTGTTATGGACAGATAATATTTTCTTTAACTGGACATATTTTAATTTACATAACTATTAGATACATAAGGGTGATATGAAAATTGAACCGCTAAAACAGATGAATATTAAGTTAAAGGGAACTTTCTCCTATACCCGCCATGCTATCTGACCCGAACGAGCCACCTAGTGGTGAAACTGGTAACTACCTACTCGCATCTGAGTCATTAAACCAATAAACGAAATATACGAGCGTACGTCACTGATTTTTCAAATCCCATTGCATAATTTGGGACAATGCTTTTATTTGTTTTCCTAAGTTGTTCTAATTTCATTCATTATATTCCAGCAGAATCTACATATGTGTTGCAAATGTTTTACAGACATTATGAGTCTTATGACAACACTATCATGTAACTTGCTTTTTCTGCTAAATGCCAACAGCATGAGAAAATATTAGTTTTCCGCATTCTAGTTTTATTTTATATGTCTCTGATTAGATGTATAAGAAAATCATTATATGGTATGGCCAGCAAGATTGTGTAGTAAGTGTACTCCGTATAACACTTAAAAAATAAAAAAAGGTTCCACCTATCTTAAAGAATATCAAAGTTTATTGAAATAAATATATTTAATGAAATTCTAAAAATGTCAGAAAAAGCAAAACTCTGGTTATAAATAACTTACAGAAAAAATTGACCATGGAATTGAATAAAAATTGAAAATATAAAAAGTTCCACCTATCTCAAAGAATATCAAAGTTTATTGAAATAAATATATTTAATGAAATTCTAAAAATGTCAATAAAAAGCAAAACTCTGGTTATAAATAACTTAAAGAAAAAATTGACAGTGGAACCTTTTTATATTTTCAAATTTTATTCAGGGGTACATGATCTAACTAGTTTAAAACAATAAAAACAATATGTCAATTTTCTATTCTATTTTTTTCCTCAAAAAATGTCAAAGTTATGAAAATTGAAAGTCAATTAAAATTTGATATGGCGTCAATTGTACTGCCAAACTTGGGTAAGGGGTCAAAACCCTATATCTATTCTGTTATTGCAATGCTAGCTTTATTAGTACTCATGAAAAATAATTGGCACCAAAACACTTCAGCTTATCAAATGCCGTAAATTAAAAACAATCTTGTAGGCAGTATGATGATTTGAGGCATTTTTTTCCGTAACGTCATACCCATCTAATCTTTAAGACGATGTACTGAAATATTTTCACAGTGAAGATCCGATTTACTTTATATATAATGAAAGCATATATGATCCCCTTTTGAAAAAATCAAACAGAAACAGAACATTCAGGACACCCACAAATCAGCTAGGTCAGAGATGGGTCCCCTTAATGAGCTGCAAATTTAGGATCAATTGAGACCAATTTCCCTTGATCACCCTATGCAGACTGTGCTATACGAAAACAAGCAGTGCGTAAATTATTGTGGAAATAATGTGAAATTGCAGCTGTTACACAGCGTTAACAGCATTCATTCAATATTGGTGATCAAATGACATATCAATACAAATTATATTTGCGTTTTGAAAGTTGAAAGGCTTCTTTGTCATTTTCTACAAATTTTGATACATTAAATAAAAATGTGCTACCTCTAAGCAAGCGGTGCTGATATCCGTTAAGCGACAAAAAATCAAACAGAAACAGAACATTCAAAACACCCAAATTCTTTTTCAAAGTAGAGCATGTGCCAAAATAATAAGAAATAATTTTTATATTCATCAATAAGTAAGTGACATCACCTATTAAATAATGTACAGTCCAGATCATGTAGTAAATGTTAAGCATAAAAATGTGTGTCAAAGTGGTTAAAAATTATTCTGATTGATATTAAAGTAGTGACACATATTTTATTAAAATTCGAAGAAATGGCATCTGTAACAGATGGCAGGTTGTGACATTTTGCATGTTAATGCCATGTTATATCATCCGGTACTCCAGTATTCTGATTGTATTTTGAATCTTTCACCAGTATGGTCCTTTTATTTATTCCAGTATATATTTTACCCATGGCACTTACCTCAGTATCTATTCACATGGTATCATACACCAGTATAGATATTTTATTTTATTCCAGTATGTATGTTTCTAATGACAATATATTCACTTGGTCTCTATTACGGATGCTACACTTCATAGTTATCTCTTTCATATTCTTTGATATGCAGATTCTCATTTCAGGAACATAATATAATAATGTCAAATAATGTCATAAATGTCAAGATGGCTGTATATAAAACTTAGGAAGTTGTCTTTTAATAATTTTTTTATGTTAAGAAGTTATGTCAAGAAAACAATATTACCACATAACTAAAACAATGCAGAAATATCAGATATGACTGGTTTATGTAACAGATAATTTTACTCCTTTAAATTGTTGGTGAGGAAATGCAAGGATGAAGAAAAAAGACTGATATTATTGCTATATTTATCAATTGGCCAATAAATTCAATTTCATTAAAATACCTAATGTATACCTAAGTATTCATCAAAACCTGCAATATATCTTACCACATTTCTTTAGATAAACATTTATTGGCATCTCTATGAACTGTTTTCTGATGAAAGTTAATCAGGTACATAAGTTCAAGGTCACAGCACAACTCAAATAT